ACAGTTTTGATTTAAAGTCAATTTTGTGTGATATTAGTACAGCCATTCCAGCTCTCTTTTGGTTACTCTTTGCATGGCATGTTTTCTCATCTTTTCACTTCCAGCCTACTTATGTTCTTAGATCTCAGGTGAATCTCATCAACAGCATATAGTCAGATTATATATTTTTATCCATTCTACCACTCTCTACCTTTTAATTGAAGAGTCTAATCCATTTTCATGTAAAGTAATTACAATAAGGAAGAACTTATTTTTGCATTTTGTAATGTATGTATTATTTATATCTTTTTTGTTCCTCAACTCCTCCATAACTGCCTTCTTTTGTCATTAGTGTATTTTCTAGTATACCGTTTTAGTTTCCTTTTTGTTTTTCTGTATATTTTTTATAAACTTTTTTAGTGGTCACTCTGATGATTACAATTATCATTTTAACTTTACAAAAACTAAGTGTGAATTAGAGTTAATGTAGTTTCAATAGCATAAAAAAACTCTTCTTTATAGTTCTGTCTTCACCTTTATGTTGTCATATTCACAAATTACATGTTTACACATTGTGTGCTCATTAACATAAATTTATAATTATGGGTTTTATCCAATTGTCTTTTTAATCATATAGGGAAATATAGAAGAGTTATAAGAAAAAATGCAATTATACTAAATTTTATATTTACCTTTGTAGTTACCTTTACTTTAATTGTTTCTTATTTCTTCATACAGCTTCAAGTTACTGTCTGGTGTCCTTTCATTTAAGCCTGGAAGACTACCTTTAAATTTCTTATAGGACAGGCCTATTAGTATGTACTCCCTCAGTTTTTGTTTATCTGAGAATGTCTTAATTTCTCCTTTATTTGTGAAGGATACTCTTGCAGGATTCAGAATTCTTCATTGACAAGTTTCTTTTTCTTCTAGCACTTTAAATACATCATCCTACTGTCTTCTGGTTTTCTCAGTTTCTGACAAGAAATTGACTGTTAATCTTGTTGAGGATGAACATGACAAGCTGCTTTTCTCTTGCTGCTTTCTAGATTCAAGATTTTCATGATTCTCTTTTTTTCAATATTCTCTTTTAGTCCCTGGCTTTTGACAAGTTAACTAAAATGTGTATGGGTGTGGATGTCTTTTACCTCTGAACTACGGGGATATTTGTATGCATGATGGTGTCCCTTAACTTCATTAGGCACTGTTCATATTTCTTCATTTTCTTGTCTTTCTGCTTCTCAGATTAGATCAACTCTATTGATTTATCAAGTTTACTGATTCTTTCTTCTGCCTGCTCAGATCTGCTATTAATCCCCTCTAGTAAAGTCTTTAATTTCAGTTATGTTACTTTTCAGCTCCAGAAATTCTACTTGGTTAATTTTTATAATTTCTCAGTTTATTAATATTATTTATTTGCAGAGATATCACTTTCCTGGTTTTGTTTAGTTCTTTGCCCATACTTTTCTTTATATCTTTGAGGATATTTAAGACAGTTCATTTAAAGTCTTTGTTCAATAAGTTTAAATTCTGAGCTTCCTCAGAGACAGTTTATATTAATTTTTTTCTCACTGTGAAGGAGCCAAAGTTTCTTTTTTTCTTTGCATGCCTTATAATTCTTTATAGAGAACAGGAAATTTTGAATATTTTAATGTGAAGTGGAAGTCAGATTATCCTACCTTTATTGGATTTGTTGCTGCTGTTTGCTGTGGGTTGTTGTTTGTTTATTTAGTGACTCTTCTAAACACTTTTTGCAATGTATTCTTTGTCATGCGTGGCCATTGACATCTGTGTTTCCTTAGCTTACTGGTGAGCTAGACTTTTGTGTGAGTTATCTTAAATGCCTGGAGCCAAAAAAAAA